TTACGGCCATATCACGTTGAAAAACCGGTTCCCGTACGATCACCGAAGTTAAGCAACGTCGGACCGGGCTAGTACCTAGATGGGTGCCCGCCTGGAAATACTAGATGCTGTAAGATTGGATGCGCGGTGGTGTAAATAATAAGGGCTAGAAATTGAAAATCGGAGAGCCGAGTTCCAGTTCACGTCGTGTTCCTCATATTCACTTACGCTCAAATACCCTTGAAAATCGTATGAATCGACATCTCACCCCCACCAGATATGGCTTAATAGAAAATCCGTCAGGTTCGATAAAAATCAAATTGGCCGATGATCTCGAAAACGACGTAAAGTCTGTTGTTAACTAGGGCAAGAAGCGACTTGTTAATTTTAACATCCCAAAACGAAAATGCTCTCTATTAATCATCTAAAAGAACTTTATTGCCTTCTAACAACACTGCTGATGCTAACCTCCAGGAGAGAAATTCACTGCGCCTTCTTAGTTTGGCGTTTTTCATTGACATGAAGTATCAGGTCATCCCATAAGTTCTGTCCGAATTTTGAATAAAGAAAACAAGTGACCAAATGTTACACTTAATTACAGATACAATCAACAATGTATTTTCCCTGATTATCTATGACTTCCTTCCATCTATTAACAAGCTTACTAATTCTATTACTGTAAAATTCTTTTGGCTTTGATTCGAAGAACTCACAAATGTCAGTTTTAACCTCTTCCTGTGTTACAAAAACTGTTTCTTCCAAATGATTCTGTAAGCTACGAAGCAAATGGTAGTCTGAAGGAGCAAGATCGGAAGAATAAGGTGGATGAGGAATTTTCTCCCAACCAAGTTCTTCAATCTTTTGTGACGTGATTCTTGCTGTGTGGGGTCGCGCATTGTCCTGATGAAACATCACCTCTTTTCGATTCACTAGAGCAGGTTTTTTTCCTCAAAGCTTGGTTCAAACGCTCTAATTGCTGACAGTATATTTGAGCATTAATTGTTGCATTAGGTGGTAAGAATTCAAAGTGGATTATACCTTGGCGATCCCACCAGATTGAAAGAAGAATCTTTTGCCAATGAAGTTCCCTTCTCGGCTGTGGCTGGGGTCCCTCCCCTTTACCAAGCCACTGTCTACGACGCTTAACATTTCGATAAAATATCCATTTTTCGTCGCCAGTCACAAGTCTATCCAAAAAAGGTGAAACAAGTTGGCGAGAATGGAGAGAAGAGCAGATGTCAACTTGGGATTTGAGGTTGTTTTCAGACAATTCATGAGGCACCCATTTTCCAAGTTTAGGAACTTTTCCAAGTTGTTGAAGATGACGATGAACAGTTGTATGGTTTGAACTGAGAACCACTGCCAATTCCTCAACTGATAAAGCAGGATTTTTCTTCAAGGGCTACTTCAAGAAGCTTTTCATCAAACTCAACTGAACGTCCGGTTCGATCTTCATCTTCAAGGGTGAAATCTCCACCTCTGAATTTTTGCAAACCATCTTCTGCAAGTTCTTTCATTCACACATTCCTCTCCATAAACTGAGTGAATGTTTCTAGCCGCTTCGGCTGCTGAGTTTCCTTTCTTGAACTCATAAAGCATTATGTGCCTCAAATGATTCTTGGGTACTTCCATGTTAGCAGGGTTTTAATCAAACAAAATTTAATTTTATTGTTCTCTGAAATAAAATTTGATCAGTTTAAATGCATCTAAACATAAAAATAATGTTCAGCTCCATTAGACATTATAAAATACTCTTTAAATTTCGTTCATTTTAACAAAAAGTTAAAATTCGTACAGAACTTATGGGATGTCCTGATATGTACATTATTTACATTATTCGGACTATTGTCCTCATCTTTATCGCCATATTTATTACAATGTTTCGGCCTTTAAGTTTCTGTCTATACTACTGAGATTAGGTATTATGTACACTATTTACAATATTCGGACTGTTGTCCTCATCTTTGTCGCCATATTTATTACAATGTTTCGGCCTTTAAGTTTCTGTCTATACTACTGAGATTAGGTATTATGTACACTATTTACATTATTCGGACTGTTGTCCTCATCTTTATCGCCATATTTATTACAATGTTTCGGCCTTTAAGTTTCTGTCTATACAACTGAGATTAGGTATTATGTACACTATTTACATTATTCGGACTGTTGTCCTCATCTTTATCGCCATATTTATTACAATGTTTCGGCCTTTAAGTTTCTGTCTATACTACTGAGATTAGGTATTATGTACACTATTTACAATATTCGGACTGTTGTCCTCATCTTTGTCGCCATATTTATTACAATGTTTCGGCCTTTAAGTTTCTGTCTATACTACTGAGATTAGGTATTATGTACACTATTTAAATTATTCGGACTGTTGTCCTCATCTTTGTTGCCATATTTATTCCAATGTTTCGGCCTTTAAGTTTCTGTCTATACTACTGAGATTAGGTATTATGTACACTATTTACAATATTCGGACTGTTGTCCTCATCTTTGTCGCCATATTTATTACAATGTTTCGGCCTTTAAGTTTCTGTCTATACTACTGAGAAGAGGTATTATGTACACTATTTAAATTATTCGGACTGTTGTCCTCATCTTTGTCGCCATATTTATTACAATGTTTCGGCCTTTAAGTTTCTGTCTATACTACTGAGATTAGGTATTATGTACACTATTTAAATTATTCGGACTGTTGTCCTCATCTTTGTTGCCATATTTATTCCAATGTTTCGGCCTTTAAGTTTCTGTCTATACTACTGAGATTAGGTATTATGTACACTATTTACATTATTCGGACTGTTGTCCTCATATTTGTCGCCATATTTATTACAACGTTAATTACAGCCTTCTTGGTTTGGCGTTTTTCACTGACATGAAGTAGAATGATTATTTTAAATTAATTGTTGGGGTCTGCTACTAGGAAAGCCGGTTCACTTCTTCATGCTAGACAATTTTTCTCGACAGAATCTATCTTGCACATTTATATGTTCCCAATTTGTCCATTCATCAAATATTTTTGCTCCATACTGAAAATCTGAGATCCAAGTTCCACTTCCAGTTCGGGTTCGTTATATTCATTTACACGCAATTACCCCTGTTAAACTTATAAATTCAACTCTTCTCCCCCTCCACGAGAAAGCAAGGGGTTACTGGAAGTGAAAGAGAATGAGAAAACTTTAATGAGCAGAAGTGAGGAGAAAAGACAATAAAAGAATTCAGGAAAACAGATGATGGCGATTGGCCTTGCATTTACATTTTTGAAGATTATAGGTGGCAGGCAAGCAAAAAATCGGGAGGGAGTTCCACAGGTAAGAAGTGCGAGGTAAGAAAATATTAGAATAGAATATACTGTTGCATCTAGCTAGTTCAATAGTAAAACGGTGTGAGACCTAGATGTCACGCTAATGGCACGTTTAAAGTCATGATACCAAGGAGGAAAACTCATCAGAACAATTGCCATGAAAATATTTGTAGGAAAGGTCAGAGGGAAGTCATGTTACGTCGGTGACAAAGTGATTGAAGTCGAGACGCCAGGTCAGTATCGATTACACAATAGACTCTTCTTTGAATTTTGTCAAAAATTACTTTGGTATAAACGTTATGTTTTGACAGTAAATTTTCTTTGCATATTTTTACTTTTTTTTTTTTTTAAATCAATTCGCCCCAATCGAGGTAATAATGCCGCTAAGACGCATGGGGCTACTGGGAATCACAGAGAATAAAAAAAGGTTTTAGAAGGTAGCGGAAACCTGAAAACAGAGAACAATGGATAAATCTATTCCCCTGTTCAAAAGACAGGGGATGACTATGAACCGGACGACAGAGGAACCTATCTCATCCCATTGAGGAAATAAATAAATTGAAATAAGTAATTAGTAAATAAAACTTAAGAGTTCAGATGGAGATTTTATAAGTATAGAGTTGGAGTAGAATTGGATTTATTTTTTACGGTTTGTTGTACAAGTTTGCTTACTGTGTTCCCAAGTGGTCTCTCATCTAAGTACTCAATACTGTTTAACTTCTGTGATCAAACGAGAACCAATGTTTTCAGTGTTTTATTTTCAAAACTAATTTACTAGCATCCTTCTGACCAGAACCACTTCCGATTCCTGAACCATTTTATTTGACATTTAATAATAATCAAATTAACACATTACTGAATAAATTTTCTTTTTTAAATTTTTTCTCTTCTTGCATCAACTACCTTGCTGGCAGATTTTAGACTTTTAATCTCTAAGAAATTGGCGTCATAAGGATAATTGTAAGGATTTAAAAGGGAGGATTATACTAACAATAGAGTTAACTGAAAATATAAAAAAACATAGATCATTCATTTAGACAATATAACCATTGCAGTAGGAAAATTACTTACATATGTCCGTCATTTTGGAACGGAGAAGTCAATTTAGGATCAACAGCAAACATTTCAACCTAGAAATTCAAATAATATATGTTGCTTTATTGAAACCGTTTTCCAAGTCTTTGTCGTTCAGGTGTTTGGTTCATTTGGAATGTCTTCTGCAAATGTTGAATGAAACCTTTTATCCATGTTGACAAACCTTCAAATAATTGTCAAATTTAATGTCTTTTCAAGTGAATTCTTCAGAACTCTAACTCTATTTTAGAACACCGAGAGGCTTTACCACTGAGCCAGTGTATATTGCAACGTTGCATCTCAGGCCAAACACCGGGTTCGTTCACAGAGTGCAGCTTCTTATAGTCAAAAGCTTATGTCTTAAAAATATCTCTTTGGTCAGATAGTTACCCAAGAATTAAAACCATGCGACGATTGCAACAATAGGCAAATTTTATTCGGTTCTAAACTTCTACTGTAGACGAACGAGGCATAGGTGAGGCAGGCTGAGTGGGAACAGACAGTTTAACAGTTGTGTCTTCGTTTTCGCGTCATGGCGACTAGTCTCTTATCCCTTTCTGTTCATTTCTCCGCCTTTTGCTGTTAGGAACAACTGTCTTATAGAGTACAACTTTCTTGCAAGCTCTGTCTAAGAAAGTAATTCATCAAGAACTCAGGATTTTGACTTCACACAGTGACCTTCATTGTCAGGTTAGTTTCACGTTATGCTTGGGAGATCTACTCCATTAAGCTATACTTCTTCCCAAGACA